CTTATTAACACTTCAAATTAAAAATAAAAAACATAAAAATAATATATGTTATCAATCTTATCATTATTAATATTCATAATCTTATTTAAAAAAAAAATCCTTTCATCATTTCTAGATAAAAAAATAACATTTACTAAAGAATAAAGCACTTTTTTATATATAATTAATTACTATAAAGCTAATATTAATATCAATTATCTTATTATTAATACCCTAAAACCTAAAAATCAAAATAAATAAATATATATATTTTTTAATAAAAAACTATCTTAGGCTTTGTTTGGGACGACTTTTTTATTGCTTTCTAAAACGGAGTTTTAATATACAAATAAAAAATTTTGTACTAAAACTCCGTTTTAAAAAATAGTAAAAAAATCGTCCCGAACGAAGCCTTACTCTGTCTTCTAGATAACCACCAGTACTCCCATTTACGTCTCTGTATGTCTCATTTAATAATTTTACTTCCTCCTTTCAGGATTCAGCTCTCCCTTATTTAATTTCTTTTACCAACTCCCCAACATATTTATTTCACTTCCACTTAGATCTCCCACAACATTTTCGTCAACAACGTACGATCCATCTGTAGTTGGGACTGCTTAAGAAATTAAAACAAAAAAAAAATTATTTTCTTAATAAACTATTTTCGGCTACACAGTACCCTCTCTGTAAATCTGCTCACGTTCATAATATTTTAGGAGAATTATTTTTTTTAGGGAAATTTTATAGTTGTTTTGACAGAAAGTCACAACAATCTTCAAAAGTAAAAATTATTATGTACGGATATTAGACGGTGTGCAGAAATTAATCAGAATACGTCACTTCATTTTTTTCGCTTGGTACTGATAGTCTGCTCCGCTGTGTACTAGATAACATGACGCATTTTGATTGGTCTCCAGACCAACCGATCCAGTGTTCCGCACAATAATTTCTCCTCCGATAGACTCGAGTTTTTCTTTTAGTATTTTTATTATATTATAGTAGTAGTTTTGCTTGAAAAAATATCTTATTAGGGTATTCTCATTGTAATTTTGATGAGAATTAGCTTTAAAGTCTTTGAATGTCTTAAAATGAGTATAATAAACAAATAAATAAAAATATACTCATTATGAAATAGATTTAAGAGCTTTGAAAGCATCATGATTAATTTTTTTTAAATATTTTGAAATAAAAGTTATTATTTTGTTCTCTTAAATTTAGGATAAGTTTTTTGGATCTCGCTTGGTTTTAGATAATTTTTTACTGTTTCTTAAATTAATTTTTTAGTAAAAAATTAAAAATTTTATCTTAAAAAATTAATTTTAAAAACAGTTAGAAAGTCATCCCAAACAGAACTAGAGAGATTATTCTGTGCAATATCCGAATGTTTCCAGAGGCCAATCCGTTCCCGCCATATATATCGCCCAATGCACCGAATTGAACTATGGATGCGTTCGGACACCGCACATAATAGTTTTTACCCAAGCTAAGCCTTAGTTGAAATCCTAAATTTGCTGCTCCCTTCATTTATTTTTTATTTTATTTTAGTTTTTTGTTTGCTGCTCCCTTCATGTGTGCGCGTAGGTTTGTCAAGAAGTGATATATATATATATATATATATATACACACACACACAAATAAAAAATAGGAACAATGAGAAGTTACATAGGAAAATGAAAATATACACACACAAATAATTAGCCGAAGTCAGCAGCATCAGCAGCAGTAATATAAGTAAGTATACAAGACAAGAAGAACGATGCAGAAACAAGCAGCTTGAAGCAATATTAGGACAGCAGCAGCAGCAGCAGCAGCAGAACAAGAAGAAGAAGAAGAAGAAGAAGAAGAAAAATAAAGAAAGGTTAATATTCATCAGTATTGCTGAAACAACCATGAAACTGAAAAAGGAAAAAGGTAAAACAAAAAAGAAGAAGAAGATGATCATCAGTGACATAAAAGAAAAATATTTATCAGCATTTATAAAATAAACCAAGTATTTAAAAAACTAAAAAAGAAAAAAATGGTATGATTCAGTCAACACAGCCTAATTCGCCAAGTTCTTTAGAAGTTGAAGTAAAAACTAATTAGCCAAGTTAATTAATTAGAGGTTAAATTTAATTAGAAAAGTTTGTTTTTAACCTGTGATAATGCGCTTGATAAGTCCTAGTATTCCACCATTAAGTGATATGAAGTTCAGCAAGAACTCAACTATAAGTCCTGTAACCTTCATTGGTCCGCTAATTGATGCAAGTAATTTTTGGATAAATAGAGTAATCACAGTGATAATATCAGTAGGAATGCCTTCCTCGACCGAGTCTGTCTCCAGAAACTTATAGCTCGTAAGGTTTCTTCTAAAAATCAAGAGGCTTAATAGATGAAACCATCCTATCTTCTCTGGCCTTACTATCAGATATTCTCTTTTAGCAGGGCTGGGTTTCTCATAAGCGGCCATTGGAGAGGATGAGCTAGCAGAGAGGAAGATACAGAGAGCAGAAGGAAGTAGGAGGGAAGAAGAAGAAGAAGAAGAAGATAGCTTGATGGAGAAGTGCAAGATTGCTCTAAGTTTGAGGCCCTATAAATAGCTAAGATCCGAGTGAGTGTTAGCACATATGTCTATCTACAAATACGGTGAACTAGTGAAGCACACTTTAATTGTGCGAGCAATTTCAGAACAATTTATGATTGCCAACTGCCATTGGTCTTTTCCAAAAGTTTTTTTTTTCTTTATTTTATTTTTCCTACGTACGGTTGCTAAGTTATATATATATTTTAATCATTTTTCAAAATTTTGTGATGAAAAATAATTTTTTGTACTAAGATTTTTAGGATATGATAGTTATAAAAATTTATTATATGATTTTTTTTTTTAAAGTACAATAATATTTTTAATTGTTTTTTTATTTGTTGTGAGAAAATTACAATGCAGAAACCTGATTACATGAAAATACAAAAAAGTATTATGTTTATATTGGGCAGATTTTGGATATTGCAATTTTAACAAGTGGTTCCCATTGTCCATGCGCAAGTTAAACGCTGTAAAGTGCTAATGTGTTTTGGAAGTTTTATTTGTCTTATTTTGTATTTGAGATGCCCTCTTGATTGAAATTGTTCGTGAATATCATGTTTATATTGGGACCATTTTAATAATGTTGAGCTCGAGTTTGGCTAATATAGTTCATTAAATGTTGATTTTCAAGAATTCCTCAAAGATAAGTCTATGTGACACTGAACCGGAGGGGGCTCGACTTCAAGCGACCGCGTCCGAACCAACTCCAAGAACTCCTTTTTGGAAAAAAGAATCCATAACTTGAGAACAGTCTCAGGATACAGGAATGACACAACACACAACTCCAATTTTATTAATCTGTAAAATCTACCTATAACAAGTGTTCGCTATGTATTTATAGTCAAAGGACGCAACATAAAATGTTACATGCCACTATAAGGATCACTATGTTTATATAGCTATACTAATAACTAAATGAAATTTAACTATCCTGAAGTTAATATGATTAAACGGCTCAGCTTCGGCGTCACTAGGATTTATCAATTAGTTGTATAGTTATAGATGAGTGTTAGCTTTGCTTCTTTGAATCCTAACTTACGTAGTTTTGACGAGTATGCGATTTTATTAGTCTTCTTATTGAGCCTCAATTGGAGTACTGAGGATTGAGAAGATTTAATTTCTTGAGTGACCTGGATGTGTTGTATATAGCTTTAGGTGAGAAAATATTTTGGGCAACTTGAAATTAAGCAAATATTGAGTTAAATGTCTTCTAAGCATATTCAAAATAAACAGCTTTCTAATCCCAATACAGACTATTACACTGAGATAATACAATTAATCTAATTAATATAAATATATGTGTAAATGTTCTTATATAAAATATAGAGAAAAACTTATTATTCTTATTATAATTAGAAAAATAAAGGCTGATTCGTCCCATGCGACATCACTATCTGTCTAAGGTTTCGTTTGGGACGGCTTTTTTATTGCTTCTGAAAATGGAGTTTTAGTAAAAAAATTAAAAAAATTGTACTACAACTCCGTTTTAAAATGCAATAAAAAAGCCGTCCCAAACGAAACCTAAGGTTAAAGACATGAAACTTAACATATTACCTGCTCTTTAACTTATTACAATTACCTCGCATGCATTGCATGTTTAGCATATTTTATGAGTTAGTGTTAGGTAAATTAAGGAAAAGCCCTCATTTTTCTCTAACCTAAACGATCTATTTTTTGGGCTGATCAATTTTCTATTTCGATTGTTTGGAAATAATTTTTTTATTGATTTCGAAAATAGATTTTTAGTACAAAATTTTCTTAAATACAGCAAAAAAATGGTGACAAAACACTGACAACTTTCTTATTGCTTTCTAAAATAATTTTTTCTTAGAAATTTTTTTTAAAAGTAGCAAAAAAGGAGCAAACACAAGTTGTTCTAAATGAAGCCTAAGACTTCGTTTGGGACGGCTTTCTTTCTGCTTTTTAAAGCAGCTTTCTATACAAAAACTAATATATTTTTTTTTTTACTAAAAAGTTGTTTTAAGAAGCAATAATAAAACCGTCCCAAATGAAGCCAACGACTCATAACGAAAATTATTTGAAGTTAAAAACAATTAAAAAAGAAAGAGTTTTATCATTTGATTGGGTATAGTTATATGATATTAACTTGATTTATTAAAGGATCACAAATCTATTCAAAAGTCTTTGAAATTAATGTAATGATTTCGATTTCACGTGCAAAATAAATGAAAATGATTCTTCAAAATTTAAATATTTTTTATTTATTAAAATATAAATTATTAAGCCACAAAGTGACTTTGATTAATTGATGCATGCCTTCATATCTTATTCGGATCAAGAGATCTGCAATTGCCAACTGGTGTGGAATATATTAATTCAAATTTAATATTCTTGATGTGTTCATGAATGAAAAAAAGTCATATAGGGAATCAAAAAAACCCCTTTTTTATCTATAAATTGGTATTTCAATTAAGCTTAAAAACTATCTATAATTGTTGCGTCCTGGAATTTGACTGTAAGATCGTTGAAATCGGAGTTCGGATGCTCCCGGATTTAATTTTTGAAGTCTCCAACTAGTTTTTGCCTCGAGATTCGTGCCTGATCAAGCTAATTTTGTGATGATGTATCAATAATGATTTTTTTTTTTTAATTTAGAAAATTTAGGCCAATTAAGTCAAATACACATACATCACATACGGAAGCTTCGAACCCAAGATCTCTTGCTTAATAGCTAAAGCTCTCAACTAACAATCGAGATGTGTGCATAATGGTTTAAACTTGAGTTGGAATTTGTTTTCATATACTTGGGCTTCATTTGCGACGGCTTTCTTACTGTTTCTTAAAACAGCTTTATAGTACAAAATTTAAATTTTTTGTACTAAAAATTTGCTTTTAGATGCCGTAAGAAAGTCGTCCCAAATGAAGCCTTTCAGGTGAGTTTCTTACTGCTTTTTAAACCAATTTTTAATTAGTTAAAAAATAAAAACTTTTGTACTAAAAAGTTGCTATAAGAAGCATTAAGAAGACTGTCTCAAACGAAACCTTAGTCTTCATTTGTGACGGCATTCTTACTGCTTTAGAAAGTAGCAAAAAAGCCGTCCCAAATGAAGCTTTAGTAATCAAGTCCATCTAAAATAGTTCTCATTTTGTATCTATTTTCTTGAAAGAAGAAAATATAGATCGACCTAGAAATACAGATAGTTATAAACAGATATGATATGTTGCATGTAGAAGAAATTTTATTTGTAGTTTGTTTTTGTGCTCCTTGGTCCAACTTTGTGGCACTCTAAGGCCAGATTTTATTTGGGATGACTTTCTTATTGTTTTTAAAAATAAATTTTAGAGCAAATATTTTAATTTTTATACTAAAAAACTATTTCGAGAAATAATAATTTGAGTGAATTTCTTAGATCTTTATTCTATAGATTATTATCCCACTGAAATTTGGAGATAAATTTCTTGTTCTTTATAATAAGTTTCTATGGTGAGAAAAACTTTTCATAATGAACATGATAATGATAAGAAAGCCTCTATTTGATTTTCTTACAAAGAAGTATATAAAAACTTACAAAATTTGTAAAAAATTTATTTTTCTTCTAATATATCCTAAACTATATTTAAGGCCATTTGGGACGACTTTCTTATTGCTTCTTAAAACAACGCGAGCACTACAGGAAAATCGTCAATTACAGGCGGATTTTTCCGGCGGCTGACTTTTCCGACGGCATTCCGTAGGCTTTCCGGCGGCTTAAATTTTAGAAAAAATTCAAACGGTTTTCCGGCGACTTACCGGCGGTTTTACGACAGTTTTGTTTCCGGCGGTTTCTGGCGGCTCTTCCATCGATTTACCGGCGGTTTTCCGGCGGCTTTTCAGCTTTACCGGCGGCTTTTAATAATTAATTTAATTAATTAATAATTTTATTTTATTTTAATTAATTTTAATTAAATTAATTAATTATTAATTTATTTTAATTAATTATTAATCTAATAACTTAGTCTAATTAAGTATTAATAAAATAACAGATTTAATTAATTATTAACTTTAATATATTATTTTTTATTAATTTTTAATCATAATTTTGCTGTTATATAGTTTAAATAAATTGTAATATATAATTTGACACATTTTCAAACTCAGCACAATGGTTGGGACTTAGCAAAACCAAGGGACACGGTTCGAATCCCGGGCAGTGCGGGCAGCGCGCGTGCACGGCGGGCAGCGCGCGGGCATGTGTCCAGGCGGGCAGCGGCGGGAGCTCTGGCGGGCAGGGCGGGCAGCGCGCGGGCACGGCGGGAACTTGGGC